GACGTTCTCCACCAACCATTTGACATCTGGCCACTGGAAGAACTATACCCAGACAGGCCGCACACATTTGCCCACGCCCTAGCAAGAACGCAAATTACTCAATATGCTAGATCCATCCCGCAAAAACCTTCCCTACTGAGAGACTTAACGCAATTTGAACTTCTATGCACGCAGGACAGGGAACCTCCTCGTGCCATCTCACAAATCTACACTATCTTAATCACGAGCAGATATCTACTAGCACCCCCGTGCATCAGAAAATGGGAGGACGACCTTGAGGAACCTATGACAGACGCGGACTGGGACAAGAGCATTATCCTAATACAAAAGACACCGAGCTCGGCACGCTCCCAAGAAAACTCGTACAAGATCTTTACTAGATGGTATCTGACGCCGACGGCGCTACACGCCAGAAACCAGGAACTCGAAGACACATGCTGGAGATGCGGGGAGGAAGCTGGTACATTTATACATATATGGTGGACGTGCACTCGCATCAGACCGTTCTGGGACAGAATTAGGACAATCATACACGAGGTCACGGAGGAGCTCCTGCCACAGTCCCCAGCCGCCTTCCTCCTACACCACACCACCATGGCGACACAAACATACAAGAGATCGGCTATCCCTCGACTTCTGAATGCAGCTAAGGTGACCATCCCCATCTTCTGGAAACAGACCAGCACACCTCCCATAAAGAGGTGGATAGAGGAGGTGGAAGCCACGAGATCATTCGAGGACTTTAAAGCAGAAACCCCGAACCTCAGGGACCGATATACCAAACGCTGGTTCCACTGGATGAGACTGATCTCGTCAGACTCCTTCCGGCACCATTTAACCACACCGTAACTAGTGGCAGGAGGAAGGGACCCAGGGAGACACAGGAGGCGAAAAGATGACGACGGGGCACAACGGGCCGGGCGGGGGACAGGGGGCGGGACACAGGACACATGGCCCACCCGACCCGATGCCACACACAGACGCCACAGCGACTGCCACTGCTGACTAAGACAGCCACGACGCCCGCAGACATGACGGCATACACGTGCCACACACATAACCACCGGCCAGGCCGCAACCGCTCGAGGAATGGCTAGGTATACAGCCCTCGCATGAACAGATGACAGATAACACGCCGCACACTAGACCCACCACCTTGCCGCGCCCTACCTCTGGACGAACAAGACATAGAATGACTACAAAATCAGGTGACAGACCAGACAATGGAGTCACGAAGACAGAGGGCCAAAGGTGTCAGACACACCACTCGAAGTAACACACGATCATACATGCACGACACAGACACGAGAGACCACGAATCACATACACGCAGACCACGCCAACAGACCGCTCCACATCATCGGACACCACTGCAGGACATATACGAGACGTCAAATACGACAGCAGAGAACTCATACTCTGAAGTTAGGACATGACAGAGTTGTTAACCTCGCGACATAGACACAAGTCGATGGACATTTAAGCCGGAGAGGAGGGGAAGACATAGCCGACACAACACTGAACGTAACCCAAGCAACACACATCACACATGCGACATGCACACAACGGATTAGACGCAACGAATGACCCAACTCACGTGAACAACGCCAAAGGGCCGACACTAACTACAGCGGCTACAGTAACTGACCACCCCAAAAAGATACATTGCTCCATGCAACATAGTGAGGGACTACATCCTACACTAATATAGGTATAGGCAAACACATACAGAGAAACACCCTAAGGGTCGTTACAGACCTGTTCAAGCACTACCGTGTCGCTCACGGACAATACCTAACCACTACGCTTCTCCCCAAGAGATACACCGATACAGCGACTATTTAAATGCAGTTACGCAACACACAACCGGGTCTCGCAAAGGCAACAAGACGCCAGCTAGATACAAAATGTTGACTACAACCACAATGTTTAGGCTGTAATAAGTTAGTGAGGTTGCTTGTACACCGCACTGTTATTAGAGCTGACACATAGTCTGTTCCCCCTACTCTATATGCTTACTCTAAAACGACATACAGGCGCCTAGAGGGTAAATACCTAAAAATGTTACTGTATTAAACGCTATACAACATCTGGCGGGTACACAAAGCCTCTGCGAAGGCCACAACCTGTGAACCTGTTCATGCAAATATAACCGGGCCTCCACGCAGGCACGGACCCGCCACTTTAACACTACGTTTGCAATGTACTATGCTAGGAATCTAACAACTAGATGCCACGGATAAGAATATATGGCACACAGCAACGAAAGGTGAACAACAATGTCACGCTAAACGGTCCTCTGCGCAGGCAACCGAATGTTTCCACCGTTATAAATTGATGCTTAAGCCCCTGCGCGGGCAATCACTTGCTTCGTTATTTGACAAAACAGTTTGATACATGCATCCATGTTATGAATACAATAAAAATATTTAAAACATATATATAATATGTATATATATTATATATATATAATAGATATATACACATATATTATATATATATATGTATAATTACAATAATAAATAAATTAAATAATAAAATAAATAAATAAAATATTGAAACAAAATTTAATATACAATTTTATCACATGACAGGAGGCTTCATATTTTGCATAACTTTCTTTACTTTATGCCTCCAGCAGCACAAGTCAATCAATAAACTTTAAACCAATCAGTAACAGGCATCACATCCATATATAAAGCCCTGACAGTCACATGACTTCCTCTTTCTTTGCTGCTTACCAGCCAAGGCACAGGTCAGAGTATTTTGCTCCAAACTGTTTTACTGAATATTGCAATTGTCATTAGTTAATCATTTATTGCTTAACTTTCAGTTTGTTCCAAACTGTTTTTATTAATATTGCTATGGTCACTGTAGTTAGACACCTTATGCTAGACATTCAGTTTTAATCCTAACTGTTTTTTCTGGATACCACTTTAATTAAACTTTATTAATTGACTTTCAGTTTGCTCCAACTGTTTTTATTAATATTGCTATGGTCACTTTAGTTAGATTTTTAATGCTAGACATTCAGTTTTTGCTCCAAACTGTTTCTGGATATGCATGGGCACTTTTGTTAAACTTTATTAGCTTGTCCTGCAATTTTGGCCTAAACGTTTTTCATTATTTTGCACTTGCCTTCCATTTGGATTTGTATAGTGTGATATTCTCCCCCTGTTACCCTTCCCCTGAATTAACCCTGTATTTTCTGCTTTATTAGCCTGTTTTCTGTTGCTGGCACCTTTTCTTTCCTATGCTTTACTCTGGTCTCGCATGGATCGCGGCGTTTTACCGCGAGCACGCTTTTTATTCATTGGTGCTGGGACTTCAGGGCAGGTCTCTGGGGGTTGGGGATGTCGGGGGGACTCTTTTCCATGCCGGCAGACCGCGATCGTATCCTCGATCGTGGGCCGCACGGCACTTTTGCGCGCGAACGGCGGCCATCTTGAATCTCGCGGCACTCGCGAGATTCACGTCGGCCATGTCGTTTGGCCAGTTCGTGATTCCCACGAACTGGCGGCTAGTTCTGTACTGTTTCATATATTTTTCCTGTGAAATAAAAGTTTTACAAGTACTTTTGAGCTCAATACTGTTCATGGGCATGTGGAATAAAGGTTTTATATGTACCTTTCCTGGAAGATTATGAATGGACTGTTCACTGCTGAGCTCTATACTGGCATATTTCATTGGCATGTGAAATAAAAGTTTTATATGTAACTCTGCATGAATATGTAGGACTGATCCCTGCTGTGTGCATCTGCTGACAGTTTGCTCTATTCTGTTCTATACAATTGACATGTTGAATAACAGTTTTATTGTACATCTGGAGGATTATGAATGGACTGTCCCCTGCTGTGGGTATATAGTGGATGCATTACTCTATCTACTGGCAGGGAAATTAAATAGAGCTGATATCTTACTCCGCTCCCTACTCCCACTGGACCTCACAACCATTGGATACACTCCTTCCCCACAGGGATACACCTCCCAGGACACAGTAGTGGAGGCACATAACGGAGTGATTAACAGGGGTGATCCCCCTTACGCTGGGTGACCCCCAAGCGTGGCAGACACCTCTCCAAAGTGACATTGTGGTACAGGGGTGACCCCCCTTACGCTGGGTGACCCCCAAGCGAATCTGGTTCCTGTCCTAGTGACATACATATACTGGGGTGATCCCCCTACTCTGGGTGAACCCCAAGCGAATATTATTCCGGTACTAGTGACATACATATACTGGGGGGAACCCCCACGCCCTAGGGCGGGCTCATTTCCACGGAGTACGATCTGTTACTGTATGCACAGACCGGGTCACACTGAATACATGTATATCGACAGAGCCAGGAAGGAGAGCTCATGGTGCTGCCAATTCTCCACAGTACTATATCCTATAAGGGTGACCCCTTGGATAATTTGGAGGCTACCATACCTCCCCATACACGGGCTACGTCCCGACATTACTGACCGCTCATCCCGGTCTTATTGAGGGTGACCCCCTCCTCAGACCACTCCCAGGAAATCTCTAAGTGGTACTGATTGAAACAATTCTGGGTGACCCCCAGTTGTACGTGGAGGCCCACTAAGTGGCAATAAGTGTACTACCGTACCTGACACCTGTTCGGTACCCCATAGACCGAAAGAGTGTCCCAACATGCCATAAGAGACATTCATACAGGGGTGACCCCCCTATGCTGGGTGAACCCCAAGCGAGTCTTACTCCGGTGCTAGTGGCATAGGTACAAAGGGGTGACCCCCCGCACCCTTTCTAGGGCTTCTACCTTCAGAGTACGCTCTGTCATTGTATGCACAGACCAGGGCGCACTAGATGCATGTATTCTGGCACCTCTATGCTTCAACTGGGGTTCCGTACGCCCTTCCCTTAACCGAGAAGGAGAACTCACAGTGCTGCCAAAACTCCACAATTCTAGACCATATAAGGATGAACCCCGTGGACTATATATATTGAGGCTTTCACGTCTCCCAGACTCGGGCTACGTCCTGACATTGCAGACCGCTCATCCCGGTCTTACTGAGGGTGTCCTCATTCTCAGACCACTCCCCGGATCCTGCAAAAATGATACTGATTGATCAAAATTCGGGGTGACCCCCAGTTATACGCGGAGGCCTACTGAGTGGCAATAAGTGTACTGTTGTACGATCCTGTCTCCCACGGACCGAAAGGGTGTGAACCAACATGTCGGACTTACCTCAATATCTCCGACCGATTTTCAGGCGAGGATTATGGCTGCCATGACAGCCCCGGGGGAAGAAGTCCTCTCCAGTATGCTGGCTAACAACCCATCCGACAGAGCGGGTGCAACGGCAGCAACACCAATGGAAGATTGAGATACCGACGTTAGGTCGGACACCCATCATCAGGGGACGAGGACTTCATCCTTCCCCCCCTTCTCTGGAGATCATGAAAGAATGGAGGGCAGAAGAGGTAAAAGTGACAAGACACGCCTAGCAAGAAAGGTTTTTTCTTTGGCACGCTGGACACTCCTATTTTGACTCACGCACCATCCGACAAGCAGGGTCATCCGAATGGGGTTAACTGGAGCACCGGGCCCACTTCTGGCTTAGGAGGCCTATGGGAAAAGAAATCCGAGACCGGCTCAGGATGGAATGCCCACGCCCTCTATGTCCGAACAAGATAGTCCTCACTATGGAGATCGTGGTGATATGTATGTCCCGATCAGTGTGTAGGAGGAGGACTCAAAATGAGTTAAATACTGGATATGATCAGCCCGGGAAAAAATTCTATACTTTGCGGACCTGACCCCACACAAGACTCACCTCTAGAAGCTCACGATGTGAGGGAATGGGTGCAAAGGGCAATATGTAAGTTGGGGAACGCAAGGCAGACAGGTGCACAGAACGCCGCAAAGCAGCCCGATTAAAGATGGATTTCAAACTATTGAAGTTAGGTACGAAAGAGCGAGGACCTCAGGCGGACGGACTATCGTTTGGAGAACCATTTATCTCAGCAACGGTTTGGTAGTAAGGAAGAAGATAGGAGACTATCACCCAGTCATCAACCTATGCCAACCCAATGGTTTTGGGGCGTACCGACAACTCAAGAAGGAAGGTATCCATCTCTTAGGGGATCTACAAGGTTGGACTTGAAGGGCACTTACCTATAGGTTCACATGGTGCCTCATGAAGTTTCTGAAGTCTGTCACTGCGCACTGAAAAGCAAAGGGTATCTGCTATCACATACCTAGACGACTTACCTTTTGCAAATCCAATTCATGACTACGTTTACAAACGAGATTTATGTTTACAGTTTCGGGAATTGTTGGGATTCATAGTGAACAGAGAGGAGTTGGTTCGATCCCAGTTCCGAGTGATTCAGTTCCTCTATTTCAGAATAGATTCCACCTTGGGCGGATTACACCTTCCCACATCATTGATAGCGACGATTCGTAAGGAAATTCGACGGGTACGGCGGAAAGGCACCATAACCCTTTGACTATTTCCCAGGACTGCTTCACTACCAGGCCAGACAGTGGCTGAAAGCTCACTGCCTGAGATACGGACACACCTATGAAATTGGGATCAGAATAGCGAAGACTTCGATAGTACTCATTACTGCGGTAAAGGAGGCAAGCGTGACACCCAGAAGGGTTGTCCTTAATCAGGATCATCCTCTGCTCCTTCCGTTTTAACTTGCCTTCGGGCGGATCCAAAAGGAGAACATCATCCATTGAGAATGCAGGAGCATCTGGAGTTGGTAGATTGGTGTCTTCCAGGGGAGACTGGTATGTCAAGGGACTATCGCAACCAACTAGAGACCTACTATGGGACTCATGGACGCCAGGTATTCCCCCGAAATAACTTATCCGCATGGAACACCTTGAGTTCGCTGGTGTATGGGAAGGGACTGCGATCCCTTTATTACCCCTATCTCCACGATGCTGGATCTTTATCATACCTTTTCACTACAGGCCGATCGGAACGTTCCATTAACGGGCTACGTTCCGCGATTTCGACGATGCATAGCACGATTCACGACACTCCGGTCAATCAAGAGCCTTTGATATGCCATTTTCTGTGGGGTATCAAACCGTCCAGAACCATGCGTCAAAGTATCACTGGTGTGGGACTTTGATTTGGTTCTTTTGGAGCTAGTCAGATATCACGGTCCTATCCCTCAGTCAGCCATTAGCCAGAGTCACGTTACTTTTAGGTCTTTTCGTCGGGTATCAGATGTACTGGAGTTCGACGTAGACGGTCTTTTCGGTATCACCGGAAAGAATAATTTCTACAGTGTCTCGTAGAACTATATCTTATCCGCGTCCGTATCGTTCCCTGTTACCGACGGTTTCCCAGTCTTTGTGCAGTTAAAGCGGTACTTTGTTACATGGAGATCACGACAACACTTAGAATGTCACATTCAGGACATCTGCTGGTCTTATACCAACCGTACAAGCCAGTTACCATGAACACTCTGTCTAGATGGGTTCATTGGTTGTTATCGCTAGCGAGGGTGGAGACGTGTTTGGGTACTCATTCGGTAAGAGGCGCAGCTGCTTCTCAGGCCTTTACGAGGGGGCCTCTATATTTTCAGCGACGAATTGGACATGGATAGATTTATTTTCGTCAACCACACACGCATCCTTCACGCTCATACCACAGCTTTAAAAATGCAAAATATGAAGCCTCCTGTCATGTGATAAAATTGTAGATTATGCTAACGTAGTGTACCTATAATCTTAATTTTAATAATGACAGGAGGCGAGTATTTTCCCTCCCTGTTTCCCTCCCTATACTCTGGAAATTTTTTATATTTTGGTTTGTCATTTTCTCAGTGTAAATTATAAGGTTTGGTAATTCAGTATATTTATGGGATGCTTATCTGATTGGCATGTGTTAGATCCGTGTTGATTATTAAGTATACTATGGTTTGTTTAATGTTTCAGTATATTAACTTAATATAAATATAGACACATATAGTACTGGATTTAATGTGGACAACAGTTGGTTTCCATCACCTTTCACGTATTTCTGTTATTTTCAGCGTAATCATCATAGATGGATTCGACAAGATAAAGCTGGAAGGTTTCAAGTTTGGTTTCAAGTTATGCGCTACACGTTACCCAGGACTGTTATTTGAATTCCCTGACGTTATAATAGACTGTGTTTCGTATCAAAGAAAGAGGAAGTCATGTGACTGTCAGGGCTTTATATATGGATGTGATGCCTGTTACTGATTGGTTTAAAGTTTATTGATTGACTTGTGCTGCTGGAGGCATAAAGTAAAGAAAGTTATGCAAAATACTCGCCTCCTGTCATTATTAAAATTAAGATTATAGGTACACTACGTTAGCATAATCTACAATTATATATTCATATGTAATTTCATTCTAACTGTATTTTGTTATTAATATATATATATATTGGTAACAAAATACACTTAGAATGACATTATATATATATCTATCTATATATAAAATACAAATAACCGCAAATAAATATATATAGATAAATACATATAATTACATAAAAGATTACATTAGTATACACGTAGAATTTAAATACCTATAAATGCATATATATTAAAATTCTACGTGTATATTTAAGTACTCTTTTAACATAATTATGTGATTTTATTACTTAAAATTTGATTGACATGCCTGACAACACAGGGAGAAAGTGCAGAGAATTTAATTCGCAAGCACTATATTTGACCCTGTAACTCTCCAAGACTCCATAAAACCTGTACATAAGGGGTACTGTTTTACTCGGGAGACTTCGATGAACTCAAATATTAGTGTTTCAAACTGGTAAATTGTATTACAACGATGATATTTTAAGTAAAAGTTAAGTTTTTTGCATTTTTTTACAAATGAACGTCATGTTTATGGACTATATTATTGTTGTAATATGTTTTACTGTTTTAAAACACTAATATTTGTGTTTAGTGAAGTCTCCCGAGAATAACAGTACCCCCCCATGTACAGGTTTTATGGTGTTTCTAAAAATTAATTTAAATATTAACAATCAGGACTAGAATTAGTGAATCTATTTTGAGTTAGTTTTCTTTATTTGCACTTGATGTATAGAAATGTATTAAATGAAAATTACAATGTCTTTTGTCTCCATTTTTTTATATTTTATCCCTATTTAATATTGCGTTATGTGTACATATAAGGTATGAAAAGAAAGCCCTATTTCTCTAACAATGATTTATAATATGTATGTGTGTACATAAATAGAAAGGAGTAAATTGTGCTAAAATCAATGCATGGCAAAAGTGCCAAAAGGGCATTGGTCACAAATATGTTACAGCTCAAAAAATCCTTGGTTCCTAAGTGGTTAATTGCGTGGCCCATTAGTATATATGCAAATAATACAAAATACATATTAGTATAAATTAATTTTAAAATGTTATTAAAAAGTATCTTTTTTTGCCCTTTAATTCTAGTCAATATAACCACATCAAAGGTCCCATTCTTGCTAGGCAAACTATCAACATTGTACACATAATACAATGGAGTTTAAATATATTTTAAATTACTTTTGTATCACTATCAAATATACATTATTTACACTATCTACACATTCATAGGCTATGCATTTTTATAGATTTGGTATACATTATACCTTTAAATTATGTAAAATTATAAATGTTGCTTAAGTATTTTTTCCGGCAGCTATATGAACTTGCCACCTGCATCTTGTCCACCAAGCATCTTGTTCAAATTAATCTGCTATAGAATCATCACATCCAGTAGAGACAGATGAGACATCAGCTGCACTTGCTACAACTGGCACAAGTAGATCACCCACTGTAAATGTTATCATCTACACCACCACCACAACTATCCCTACCAATAACACTACTTTCAACTTCACCTGTACTGACAACATCAACAATTCTGTTAGCATCAATCAACCAAGTGCTAGTCTACAGGCTAGTGTTGCAACAGTTCCCATTACCACTGATGCAAATCCACCCGCAGGAGGGGTAGTATATCACACCAACAAAGCAAATCTGGGATCACTATGGATGCCTCTGACTTGCAAGTGCAAATTGTGTGATAAGAAAGTGAGTATGGGGCTAATGAAGGGACATCTCACTAGTGCTGGTATGATGCAACATCTGCAAAGATAGCACATGTTTGTGTTGTGTCGTTTAAGTAGTTGTCACAGCCTACCACTTTTGCTACCTCTTTTGCTACTGTTACCACCATCATTAGGCAGAGCAGGGAGGATGGTGAGTATAGTGTCAATAATCGGCAGAAAAAAAGGCACTCATCATCCAATGATGTTTCCCTTATATGAAACACTTTGATCCCATTTCCCAATGATTCATTTTTTTAAAATTGAATAACTGTATAACATAGCTTGAGTGCAATAGAAACAATTTTCTTATCTGCCACTGGAGGGCTCTTCATGACCAAAAATGTTATAACTACAAAATAATAGTAAATGCAAAGAAGAACATCTATAACATAAGGCAAATATCAAAATGTATTTATTAGAGTAAGTAGATTAAGAATCTTTTAGGACACCAGCCCAAGAAATAACAGCCAGCCTTCATTAAAAGCAGGGCTTTCAAAATATACTGCATTGACCTGTTTTCTGTTATACCGCTTAATCAAACAATAATAAAATAAATTGTCATGTTGGTAGGAGTCTGCTTGTACATATATATTTGAACTCTTGTGTCAGGGGCTAGTTACACACATGACATGCTGCCGAGTCCCAAAAAAGGTCAAAATTATCACCCAGGGTTGTTATATCCCCCATGCAGAGAGGACTTGCCAGCATTTTGGTTCTTGACTGCTCTTATGGGTGGGATCATTCTGATACAAAATTGGTATATGTTCTCTTTGTAATGACACAAGTGAGCAAAAATATTTTTAATACCTGAGCGGGCACTGACCAAAGGGCAAGCTTCTGAGTTGGTCTAAGGTTTTGCACACTCTCAGAGTTATCATATCCTCCATTTTTGTTGCAATGTATTTGCTTAGGCTCTCTAAAAGGGTACTCCAGATTTGAACCCTGTGATCACTGTGCATAGAGGGGTATCATCTACAACTTGCTGACAAGGCCTATAGAAGACCGAAATGATCTTCTGGGGTTGCTCTATCTTTCATGCAGAGAGGACTTACCAGCATTTTGGTTCTGGACATCCCTTGTGTGTAGGATCAGTCTGATATGCAAATGGTAAAGTCTCTCTTTGTAGTGGCACAAGTGAGCAATTTTTTTTTTTTTTTGTGAGTGTGGGCTATCTGAAGGGCAAGCTACCGAGTTTCTCTAAGTTTTTGCTTATTCTCAGAGTTATTATATCCTCTGTTTTTGTTGTTGTGCATATGGGCTGCTTAATTTTAAAGGACCACTCTAGGCACCCAGACCACTTCAGCTTAATGAAGTGGTCTTGGTGCCTGGTCCAGCTAGGGTTAACCCATTCTTTTATAAACATAGCAGTTTCAGAGAAACAGCTATGTTTATGAATGGGTTAAGTCTTCCCCCATTCCCTCTAGCGGCTGATTTTCACAGTGAGAGCACACCAGCGTCCATAGGAAAGCATTGATAATACTTTCCTATGTGACCGGCTGAATGCGCGCGTAGTTCTTGCTGCGCGTGCGCATTCAGCCGACGGGGCAGATCGGAGGAGGATCGGAGGAGGAGAGCTCCCCGCCCAGCGCTGGAAAAAGGTAAGTTTTAACCCCTTTCCCCCTTCCAGAGCCGGGCGGGAGGGGGTCCCTGAGGGTGGGGGCATCCTCAGGGCACTATAGTGCCAGGAAAACGAGTATGTTTTCCTGGCACTATAGTGGTCCTTTAAGTCTGTGCATAAAATACATATAGCAACAGACATTGTCCGCTTTTACCCTTGCAGGCAAGTGTCTACAAGGGAAAGCATCAATGTTCTTTGTTCCTGCTGAGATCCTTCTTAGCCCACCTTTATCTCTTTACTTAGGATTTTTTTATTTGTATTACCTCCCTTTCTCCTTTTATTAACTCCCTTTCTCACCTACTGATTCTTTCCCTCACCTTTCTGTCTCAGAGCGCGTTCTTGCTCTCTGAGCTAGGGAGAACAGATTAAATGTCCAAACGTCGGACAGGGTGCGGAACCAAGTAATTTTATTTTTATTTTTTAAGGTTTATAAAGGTGGGCTCTATTTGTTTTTTTATAATTCTTTATTTTTCCAAAAAGAGCACGACAAATTATAAGAAAATAAAACTATAACAAAATATAACATAAAGCATAAATTAAAAAATGCATCAAACTTCTTTACTATCTATCACACCCAATTTCCTAGTTAAAAGTGAAATCTAGAGAATATTAAGAACTACTATCTTACATCTGCCATATAAAAGATCCTCCAATGTCTGCACTGCAGAAGCTGACGCAGGGATCCTAAATCTTATCATACTTGGAAACCAAATTTATAGTATTATAGAACAAATGTTCAGGCTGCATTACTTTATTAACTCTATTAAACCAATCTTTAAAACTTGTTTTTCTTTCCACTTAGACATGGTAAGATCTTTAGCAACATTGAGTATGCATATCGCCTTGCAGAGCCAGTTAGTGACGAAACGCGCGTCAAGATAGTTGCATATGAGGGTGGCTTAGATTTGGGGAAGATGCTGCAACATTTCTATTGATATGTTTGATTGCCACCTAATGTTTTATTTTATATTTTCTCTCCTTATTTTCTTTCCACCTTTTCTTTTTATCTTGTTATCCAGTTACAGTTAGTCAGGGAAGGGGGGGTTATCCTTTTTTAAGGGGTGCCCTTGAAGGCACGTTAGCTGCTTTACTTAGCTACTTTAGGGGTGCCTACGAAGGCACTATATGGATTTTTTGATTCACTTATACTTTACCACTATTCTGTTACTGTACTTACAAGTTCGATACTTTTTTCTACCCTCAATATCTTCCGCTGTCTGTACTGGATATGAGCCTGGTAGTTACATTGTATTTTTTGGTAGCTATATGACTCTTGGCTGTCACATTCCATTTAGAATAGCTACTAATGGTGTTATTCATTTAATTACTGTGTCAAGACCATAAACGATTTAGTAAAGACCCTTTTTGGTGCTAATTATCACTTGCGCCATTTGGATTACCTTTTTAATAATGTTAATAAATGTTAAGTTTTATTGTACATACTTCTGTT